AACATCAGGAGGCTTTGTCTTTGATACACAGTTCTGTCCTTGTGATTCTAAGCTCGTCTCATATGTTTTAAACAAGCAGGTAGGCGTTGTAGTGCTGGTTTGCTCGAAAATGGCACAAGATCACAACTGCGGAACCGTTATTTCATGGACTTTAGATTCACATTGAGCGAGATGGCTCTCTCATATACCAAACTACTAGTACTGACCCAAACATCTCCAATGGAGTTCCTGCATTTATCATACAAGAAGAGCTAGACAGATTTCAAGCAGTGTGGTGGAGTCCAAATACTACTAGGTTGGAACCCCATATATTTTATAGATCAAGTTTAGGTATATAAAGTAGTATATAGCTTGTTTTCTGACTTAAAGTTTGCAAAGAGACTAAATTGGCTTACTTGACAGATTATTATACGAACGCGTGGATGAAACTTTGGTCCGCTCACTGATGTTCGTTTGCCCGGGCAGAGAAGCTGCGGCACCGATGAAATATCCAGTGGCCGGCACAGACAATCATACATCTCAACTTAGGCTGGTAATTGTTGATGGAAACAATGTCAGTGGTCATTTCCTAGCTCTACTTACTTCAGCTTTTCTGTGAAGTGCTTACTAAGGCAACGTATTAAGGTGCTCGACTGCGGACTAAGAAGTCCCCTCAAATCTCGCTACCCTTGGGTAGAGTACATCTCCAGAGCGGGTTTTCTCAACGATGGGAAAACGTTGGTTCAGTGTTATTGAAAATAGCAACCGCAGGTTAGAAGCATTTTCTGGAATTATAGGATATGGGTGCAAGTCATGAACCGCATACAATCACAAGCTGCCTTGATAATCTTGCCTGAATCGGAATTTGAGGGAATAACTCCATCTGGACCAGTCGCGGAGCCATGCATTGTGAAAGACGAGATCTCCAGCGCTTGGATAAATGTGAGTTTGGAAGTTTTTAGAGAAAAAAGTCCTTTTGTGTAGTGATAACTCTGATAAGGGAGAATCACTTTTCTAAAAACTTATAATTTTTTTTAGAATCACAACGCCATCGTTCCTCTTGATGGAACCGATTCCACGGTAGAGTTTATCTACGCCAGTGAGCAAAGTTCAAATTGCCATCTTTATTACATAAGCGCTCAGATCGTCAAGTACGTCAAAATTTAAACGTATTTTTCATAAAAATATAAAAAAAAACTTAAGTAAAAACGAACTTGCTGAAATTTGACAGTTTAGTAACGAAGTTGCCGAAGTCCATGAGCGCGTAGTCACCCAAGGCGAGTTTTCTGTGTGTAAGTCTACCAGTTTAGTAATTGACAAGAATCGTCGTTTGGTCTACTACATTGCGAATGTTGCTACACCCACCGAATGGAGCGTGTGAGTTAGCAAAAGAAATTTAGTTCTCAGATGCTCACCTTTTTTATTCTTTCAGCTGTGTTTCGAACTATGACGAAACGGTAGCCGAAATGCGTTGCTTAACGGAAAAGGGTTTATCATTCAAGTGAGGGCAGAAGTGTTTTGTAGCAGCACATAATTTCACAATCCATGCAAATTAAGAGGAGAACGAGCCTGTCACAATCTGTGCCTCCTGCCGTCAAGTGGATTCGCTTGCTGGATGACCTCGCTTAGCCAACCACCTCAATGTCGATACTACTCCCTAGTCTTTTCTGAAGATTCAGTCCTTCCCAGTGCTACGCTAGTCGCACAGGTAAGCTTCAAGATCACATAGCTGAAAATATCGAAACTTTGTCTTTAGATCGGGTTATCTGGCTATAATTTACCAGCAACAGTTCAAATCAATGACATACCAGTTATTGTAGAATATTTATCGAGGTTTGACTTGTTTTATTCATTC